GAAAGAGCGCACCTGCATCCTGAACCTTGGCGGCGACGTCATATCACCGAGTCCGAGCCTTACTTGTAAAACGTCATCATGCAGCCGGTGATCGTCATGTTCATGGGAACCTGCGCCGACATGCGGCCGATCAGGATCATCTTCTCGCCGGTGTCGGGATGAAAGGCCGAGTCAAACACGTACTTGGCTCGCCACAGTTCGTCCTCCGTCAGCCCCGGAGAGACGACTCCTTTTCTGCAGGACAGGAAGCAACTCGTGTCATTTTAGCACCTGACTCACCTCTTGCTGCAGGGCTGGGGGGTGTTCATGTACCTGTAGTCGGTGATGATTTTGTGAGCGTGTGCGAGCTGCTCGTTGGTCAGGAGGACGTTCCTGGGATCTGTGACGGTGAAGAAGTGTTTGGCTCGACCCACGAACGTGCTCTGGTCCCACCGAGGCTCCTTGATGTTGATGGAGGTTGATAGCTCCGCTGCCATCTTTCTCTGCGGAAGGACAGCATTAAATTGACAGCAGCGCTCGGTCCATTTTCTTTGAAAGGCACAAGTCGGGGGGGAGGACAATGCATCCATTCTCTGCTGCCACGCTGTTAATTCAGCATAATGTTGCTATGGCGATGGCCTGGCACAGAGGTTGTCATGTGCTTAATTAAAGCTTTACGACGGGTGCATGGAAAACCTCAAACTGTGCCTGAAAAGAGGAAAGTGTTGAAAGCTTCTGCATGTATCCACATCAAAGGAAAGTATTTCTACCCGTACTGTAGTTGTAAAGTAAGATGAACGTCTACAGTAGATAGATAACCACTACTTCGCTGTTCGACTTTTGCGGACTCGCTATTTCACGGTTTTTCCAAAGTAAGATTGTACACGACACACGACTATCAACTTTAATATGACTCACATGATTGGGACAGTACGAAATACAGTAAAAAGTTAACGAAAAACATACTTTGGACAGACGCCGCCATTTTGTAGTTTTCTCTCAAGAAGCCTACACTGCATAGCCACTCAAAAGGACTACATTTCCCAGAAGCTAACAGTGCTTCCAGCCATTGCTTTCTGCTGAAACAGGGGGGGGGGGGGGGGTTTGGATCCGATCTGAAAAAGTTTGGTCCTTATTCATAGTGACTCAGGTGCTCAGTGGATGCAGAGAGCCGTACGATACCGACCGGGACTTGGACAAGAACTGGACTTCCAGCCTCATAGGTCAATCTGAGAGCTGCTTGCCGGCCCATGAGGCCTCTCGAGTGGGGAGGTGTCGCTTGATGGTCTGGTGTTTTCCCCGACGCTCACCGGGAATTTTTTCATCCGGATTAGGACTCGGTCGGGACCATTGTGTGGTTTTGTGCAGGCCACCCGAAGGTCCGGCTCTCTTGAAAAGTGTCTTGGTTCTTAACGGTGCTTAAAATGACGTAGGTTTAAGAGTTTAGAACAGTGTCGTCGCTGCAGGGTAGGTCTGCAGAACCGGAATCGAGCCAGGCTGGAACAGAGCTGCTGTTCTTTAGAGCCGGTATGTAAAATGTTGCAGTACTGTACAGTACATATACGAATGTTGTTAAAATGATGCAGGTTTGAGTTTAGAACATTGCAAGAATGTGGGAAGGGTTTATAAAGCATGAATATATATATATAAATTAGGGATGCACAATATTGGATTTTTAGCCGATTTTCGATATGCCAATATGTAAATAATAATAATAACCAGTAATAAAACTTATTTGACCAGTACCGATATGTTTTCCCCCTAGATCTACTTACAGAGACTACATAGCTTTCTCTGCTGTGGAATTAAAATACTACATTATTCTGCATGCTCTTTGTTAGTTTGGTCTGCTACCAAATGCAGATGCCAAAAAGGGGACTGAAAATGATGCAACACTTCAACTTGGATTATGTTTAATGTCAAATTTATTCTTGACATTTACTCTCTAACACAATGACAACACAAACAGTGCAAATTTGTAAATTTACACAAATATAAACTCAACGGCGTGCGTGATGTCATAACATTGTGCTGGTGCTGCTGGCAACCTCGTCAATGGGTTGTCATACAAAAACAGTGCCATATATATATATATATATATTATTTATAAAGCACCCTTCATACTAAAAGCAGCCGATGTCCGATATTTAACTTTATCGCTAATATCGTCCGATACCGATACCATGCCGATAATATTGTGCATCTCTAATATAAATGCTAAAATAAATATAGCATTCCTACTTCGCGGTATTTCTCTTATTGCGGGTGGGTATAAAACGTAAGCCCTGCGATAAACGAGGGACTATGTACTGCGGTATGCTCCAGCCTCCCCCGTCTTTGTGTGGACACGGCGTATGCCAGTCTGATCAAGTTGTTCTGGTTATTCCCAGTGAAGGTGAGGACAGCACAGAAGAGCAGTACGTCCATGTGTCTGCAGGACCGACTGTGCTCGGTCAGAACCGAAACCTCTTCACATTCATCAAGCGAAACACTGATGTCCCCCGTCACTGAGGGGTTTGAAAAGTGAATGTTTGTAGTTTTTGAGAGGAGTGTTTTTCTGGACTGGATTGTGACGCAACAACTCAATATCCAACAGCGATCTTTCTCCTGCCTAGAAGCAGCTACACACCAAAACCGAAGTGAACGCGTTGCTCATTTTTCCAAGTTATCCAGCTGACAAGCTTTACATATATGGCGGCGGCCATCTTGGATTATGACATGGCAACCCAGTTTTCAAAAGAAACTTTTCTTGTGCTTAGATGTAGCCACACACAAAAACAGAAGTTGGCACCACACCCCATTTTTCAAGTTGTCATGCTAACATGTACTTCCAGTTCTCCCTCTTTGCTCTGTGATGGGACAATCAAACCAAGATGGCTTCTCACCAGAACTCCGTGTTCAATTAGCGTTCCCTCGTGAATGCAGATCGCCCGCTGGCCTTTATGCCAGCATGACTTTATGAAAAGGAGGAACAGAGTAATGGCTGTTTTGGTCAAAACGTGTGACCTCATACAATACCGAGGGAGCTTGCACGATCTGTTAGCACCTGAAGTATAAGTTAAGGATGACTCTCAGTTACTACCACATCACAGATTTAGACCTATATCTGTAAAAATGAATAATGGCCATTTTAACTTTGATTTACTCCAGATGTGCATTGAATCATTCCTGAGTTTCGTTCAAATCTGTCCTGTGATTTGTGAGATATTTTGCTAAAATCCAAACAAGGTTGGCAGATTTCAATGCAAAGTTTTCAATCAATATATTACGCAACAAGTACAGCTCAGAATATGTGTTGAGGATGACTCTGATCTACTACCACACCCAATTCTGGCTCAATATTAATAAGACTGGCTAAGTTACTGCTATGTTTGCTAAGATTGATTAGCTGTGGCAGCCATCTTGAATCAGGGTACCTCCAAAAGATTTTCAGTTGTAGATCTGCGTTCAGTCATCATTTCCTGAGAGTTTCATTAAAGTCTGTTTGGCAGTTCAGGAGATATTTTGCTAACAGACAAAGAGTTGACTAAGTAGTTTTTGACCATTTTTTCAACAAAGGCCTCACACAATCTGTTAGCAGTCACAGCACATGAGGGGGGATCAGTTTCAGCTACTATCACACCCAGTCTTTAACAAATTCTCTAAATATTTGACGGAATGAGGGACATGTTTGTGTTTTCTAATATCAGTGCGCTGTGGCAGCCATCTTGCATTAAGGTAGTCCCTAAAATGAATCAGATGCAGATGTACATCCAGTGAATATCTCCTGAAGGTTTCGTTAAAATACGTCCACTGGTTCATGAGATATTTTGCTAACAGACAATCAAGCACCCAGAGATACAGGCAAGAGCACGATCGTTTTCCCCTTCGAGCATTGCGTCCTGAAGTCAGAGTCCTGTTAATGAGTTAATGATGACACCAAAGAGTAAATGAAGCGACAGAAGAGGCTGAACTTTGGACGGACTCGGCCTTTGATCCTTCTTCTGCCCTCACTCTCAGCCAATCAGCAGCAGCCTCCGTGGCAACGCATTTACCTGCAATTTACATCAAAACGGATCAAAACGCCGACAACCAGCAGCGCGCTTTGATCCGAGTCAGCCGGTAACATCAGCTTGTGTCTGCGCGCGGACTGAACACGCTGCTCTGATTCATGATCCACCCGGCGTGAACCAGACAAATCTGGACGGGTCAGCGTCCAAACATCTGGAAGAAGGCATCTTCTGCAGTGGGCGCGAGAAGAAAAAATAAATAAATCGAAGAGTCACGGTTTTGTCTAAATTCGGCAAATTTATATGTCCTGTATTTGTTCCAGCTGTGCGCGCGCGGCTGATTCAACTAGTATCAGCAGGATTCTCCCGGTGCCGAACCGTCTGACCCACCGAGACGCGGTGTTTCCTCTCCGTGGGGCCAGAAAAGAGAAAAACCCGAGTTACTTACTGCACTGAGAGCGCCGGGAGTCCGACAGAGGTGTTCGCCGCAGCCAGCTAATTTCCGCCGCAACCAGCCGTCAGATCACAAAGCGCTCAGAGCCGCATCCTGCGGTGACAGGAAGCGCCCCGTAAAAATAAAAGCCCCGCTTAAAGTCTTCTTGAAAAAACGCTTTTTTCTACATATAAAAGCCCTCTGAGAATATGTATTTGTGTTTTATCGTTTTATCACGTAGAATAATCTAAAAAAGGGCTTTCTTAAATGACGAATGATCATACAAGTCGTTTGTATTTTTTAAAGCATGCTTTTATTTTGAGTGGTGAGTTGATCGCTACATCCGTCAGTGCTGCTAACAAACAGGAAATAATGACTTCAAACTTTGAATTTTCATACATGCAATTTTTATGTATAAAGAAAAAGGAAGCACAGGCAAAACTAACATGTAAAAAATGGAATTTGAGACAATTAAAACAAAACGTTTGGCTCATGAAATTATAAAACATATATTGAAAATAAACCTTATACAACACTTATGGCATAAATTTCTATGGCAAATTTTAATTTTATCATATCAAAAAAACATACCAAATGATTAATATAAATAAATAATCCATCTTCTACACAGGCTGATCGTCATTGTGCTGATTATTTCATCAGATTTTATGTTTGTCTCCCTCTAGTGGTGACTGTAGAGAAGTACAGGGTTTAATGTCACGTCAGGAAATAAAACGTCAAAAGCAACTAGCATTTATTTTGAACAGCAGTGGCTGCAAAACATTAAATAATTTTATATATTTAAGACATTTATAACAATATTACAGGCGTAAATAATTTATAGAATCTTTTCTAAGAGTCAACAACAACAACAAAAAAAACGTTCGCCAAAGCAGTGTAAAAAAAGAACATCTGTAAGTGCCATGTAATCAAAACAAGGTACAAAAGTACCTGTAAGACAAAACACACTCACATCTTTACGTTTAACCTTATCACAATACTTTCATAAAATAAGCCTTTTTCCTTATTTAAGAAAAAAAAAATCACAATAGAGGTATTACTACTTTGGATTTGAGGCCATGCCATTTAAAAGATTCACATAATAAAGTGTATACTCCCAAAACACTCAGATCATTGTTAACATTTTCAAACAAATACCTCTGAAAACCTCAAGATAAATTAATTCATGTTTCCTGACAAGCCAGCAGGTATTATAACCAGCAGTGTTAAGTGGCAATCAGTCCAAGCATTTAAACGTGCAGATGGTTTAAAATCAGGATAATGGTGGCTTTCATAGATACAAAAGTCTGCACTTTATTCTGAATATGGCACAGCAGATTGATTTTTCTCTAGCCTTTTGTGCAGCTTATTTCCATGCTCACCAGTGATTTTTACAGGAAGTAGTCCGGTGTGCGCCGAGTCACGTGAGGCTCTCCTCTGCGTGGTGCAGGGTCAAACTGTAGGCTGAAACAAACAACAGACATTCTCAATAAGGATATTACAAAAAGTAATCAAGTGGTTTCTCTAAGACCTCAATATCACAACTACCTTCAAACATTACTTACAAGGAGTATTTCAACGTGTCATCCAGTTCCATGATCGCTGCTTGGTTACCGCAGCGGTAACAATAATTAGGTGCGCTGAAGATCGTCACCACATTGCGATCGTGGCACCAGTTATAACCCTGGATTAAGATAATAGCTCGTGTTACACGTATAACGTCAGACTCAGTTTGCATAAACGTTGATTCAAGAGAGACCAGCATTTTTTTTTATTAAGCTCAGGGAAACGTTTCCATTATTTTCAGTGGAAAAACAAAGTCAGAGTACCTCCATCACCAGCTGGTGGGCTCTTGAAACCAAAGTCAAGCCGTTTGCGTGATTGAAAGTCTCAGAAATGTCCTGCCCGAATGTGTAACCTGCACCACGAGGTGAGATTCCCCAGCCCCCACGGTCATCTGGGTCCGACCATAACAAGTCGCACATTGGACCCTGAGGGAAAAGGCAAGCATTACGTTAAAATGGAGACGTTTTACTAAGAGAATTAGTTGATTCAGCAATGGATATTAACCAAAACACCTCCCAATAATCCAGCTGTTATATGATTAAGCTCTGACTTAAAAATAATCCGATTAATGCCAAATTTACACGAACTGTGAGTACCTCGTGTGGAACCTCCTGCAAGCGATCCAGCGCTCTGATGTGTTCCAGCGTGTCGATTGAAGGGGACAACCCTCCGTGGAGGCAGAAAATCTTTAAAAAAGGTTCAGAGGGAATAATAATAAAAAGCAAAGCCCCTTCACTTGAGCTGCACAGTAATGATAATGACGCAGCATTACCTGGTTATCCACTAGTGCAGTGAGGGGCAGATAGTCGAACAGGTCTGTGAAGTACTTCCAAACGTTGGCGTTTGCATATTTTCTCAGGCACTCGTCATAAAAACCGTACACTTGCGTGATCTGCCTGCTCTCGTGGTTCCCTCTGAGGATCGTGATCCGTTCTGGGAACCTCACCTGTTTGCAAAGAAAGCAGCACATTGATGAGCAATAACTGATGCCACTTCTGGGGTAAACACGTTAAAGCGTCAGCATTTGTTTCTACCTTAAGAGAAACCAGGAGCGAGACCGTCTCCACAGAGTAGTAGCCTCTGTCCACATAGTCCCCCATGAAGAGGTAGTTGGTGTCTGGAGACTTGCCTCCTATTTTGAACAGCTCCATCAGGTCATGAAACTGTCCATGGACGTCTCCACAGACGGTCACTGGACATCTCACCTCCTGAACGTTGGACTCTTTGGTCAGAATCTCCTTGGCCTTGAAGAGAGCAAAGAAACAAGAAGATCCAGGTGAGCAGGTGCACAAATTTCAGGGGAAACAGTGACAGGTTGTTTCAGTGCACTCTCTCCTCCATCTTCTCAACCAGAGGTTTATCTCGCATGCAGCAGATAAATGGTGCTCCTACAACGCAAAGGCCACATGCAACAACCTGTGACTGCACGTATCTCCTGCAGCCTGTGGAGCCAGGTGACGTGCGGGCTAGCTGTGTTAGCTAGCATCCATCCATCTTACCTTTTCGCAGAGCAGCTTGACCTGGTTCTCTGTCAGCTGTTTGCACTCATTCAGCTGTTCAATCCACCCGTCCAGCTCCTTGGTGAAGGATTTGTCGTCCATGTCTGTTATTTATGTATTTATTTATTTATTGGTCGTCAGCTTTTGTGCCGACCAGTTTTCTTTTTTTTTTATGCCCACCAGGAAACCGTTACGTTTGTGGCTACGCTGTTACGTGCAACATTAGCAGGTGATGGTGTGCGTGCGCACGTGCGCGTGTGTGGTCCACGGGAATAAAACGAACCACCTGTCCAGCTCTGTTGCGATAAAAGATGCGGTTCTGTTTACTTGAAATGGTAAATAGAAAAAGAAAATGTTTTTATTTGTGCCCAGGGTGTTCTGTTGTCCGACGGACATCAAACGTACCACAGCTTTCTGGCTAAAGCGAGGGCGAAACTGTATGGCAGACCGTTTTATCATGTAATCACATACACAACCTACGTACAACGTCCATGACGCATTTTTAATGTGCATTTAATTCCAATAACGATTTTTTCCAGACCAAAAACATGCATGTTAGACTGATTGGTAACTCTAAATTGTCTCTAGGTGTAAGTGAGAGAGTGAATGGTTGTTTGTCTCGTTGGTCTCTGGCCCTGTGATGGACTGGAAACCTGTCCCCACCTCTCCCAAAGTGACAGATGGATGGATGGATGGATGGATGGATGGATGGATGGATGGATGGATGGATGGATGGATGGATGGATGGATGGATGGATGGATGGATGGATGGG